AAAAAAAAAAAAAATTAATTCATCAGTTAAAGTTTTTCCTTAAAAGCAGTTTGGTTACTGCTGAGCACTTCAAGAATGAGATTGAGTTTTCGCTCTGAATGTACCACACACACAGAAAAAGCCAGAAGTGGCGCTTTGTCTCAAGTGGTAAAATGCTAGCCTTGAGCAAAAGATGCTCAGGGGCAGTGCCCAGGCGTTGAGTGGGTTGGTACTGTTTAGTGTCTTTCTCTTTGAGTTTCCAGGACTATTGCATTCCTAACTTTAGCTTTTAATTTGCAGCTTATCACACAACATCAAGAAGATGAGTTAGAGTATAAAAGGAGAAATGGATTAGAATAAACTGGAAATGCTAATATAGTAAGTATTCAATTTTATAGTGTGAATAGATTGTACAAGTTAAGTTGACATCTTTCAAATGCAGTACTTTGGTTAGTTGATTTTTGTTTTTTAATTTGAAACATCTTTAACACATTAACAAGTTTTGTGTGTGTGTATGCCAATCTTGGGGCTTAGCCAGTATTGGGGTTTGAACTCAGGGCTTGGGAACTATCCCTGAGCTTTCTGGCTCAAAGTTGGCTCTGTACCACTTAAGCTTTTTGTGTTTAATTGGAGATGAGATTCCCATGGATTTTCCTGCCTGGCTTTGAACTGTAGTCCTCAGATTTTAGCCTCTTGAGTAGCTAGGATTACAGGTGTGAGCCACCAGCACCTGGCAAAAATGTTTGAAGTTTTCCATTGTCTTTTTTTTTTTTCCTTAATGTATATACACCTATACTCGGCCTCACTAAGAGCCTCAAACTCTAGTTTTTTGTTTACGACTAATGACCTACCACTTGAGCCAGTTGTCTGCTGCCAGCTTTTTGCTAGCTAACTAGAGATAAGAGTTGTAAGGATTTTTCTGCCCAGGCTGGCTTTGAACCATGATCCTCAGATCTCAGAAACACTGATATCCAGCTATTAATCCTATCAAGTGAAAATGCCTCTTAAAAAAAATCTCAACTGTGCTAGGTGCCAGTGTCATGAGCCTGTAATCCTAGATACTTAAGAGGCTGAGATCTGAGGATCATGGTTTGAAGTCAGGCTGGGAAGAAAAGTCCCGAAGAGACTCATCTCCAATTAACCACATGAAAACCAAAAGTGTAGCTGTGGCTCAGAATGGTAGGACACTAGCCTTGAGCAAAAAGAGCTCAGGGACAGTGCTTAGGCCCTGAGTTCAAGCCCCATGATCGACAAAAACAAAACAACAAAATTCAACTTTCAGGTGGGAGATGTGGCTCAACTAATAGAAAACTTGCTAGCAAGATGAGGTACTGAGTTCAGACCTTATTATTGTCAATAATAATAAAGTCAGCTTCCATGGATTAGATTAGTAAAATAAAGAGCTTATTTCTGCTGGATAGAAAGCATAGTAATCACAAAACACTTTTTTTTCTCCACACTTAACTCTCAAGCTCAGTAGTTGTGGGTTAGTTATACAAACCTGTTACCTTTTTTGGCTAATGACACCTTGCCCATTTTAGTGCTATAGTGATCCAATAGAGATAAAAATGAAATTGGCATTTAAATCAAGACCAGATGGCTTTTGGAACTCTTTGACAGTTCAGACAAAATATATTTGTTTAACCTTAAAATGAAGTATTGGTACTATTTTTAGGCTTATTTTGTATACTTTGAAAGTAGTGTAATTTGCTATTTCTGGTTAATTCTGTAGTTTAACTTTTTCTTTCTTCGTTGTAGGTATGTTCCACATGACTATGGAAGTCCTTCTGAATTCCCATCTACTGAGTTGTGTGAGAGAAGAAGTTATATATGAATATGTATCAAGTCAGCATTTGTGTTTGCATCATTAAATGAAAGAAATAAAAATGCTTGTTTATTACCTCAAATAATGCACGTGGTGACAACTTGTAAACATTCCAATTCTAAGGTACATTACTAGAAGTATTTAATATGGAAGACATCTAATTTCAGGTTAATAGTATTTAAATACACACTGGTAAGAAAACTTGTACAAAAATGGATTCAGTAATCACTCCCGATTTACTATTTACAACTTTAATTTCTAATCAAAACACTTATCCTTTAATATATATATGAAGCAAGGAGGATTGAAAGTTTGAGACCTATCTAAAAAAAATAAATAAAGGGCTGGGTAAGTAGCTCAGTGTTAAGGTACTTAACTAGTGTGCATAAGGCCCTAGGTTCAGTCTCTAGTGCCATAATGGGGTGAGGGGAAAAGAAAAGGAAGGAAGAGGGTTAATACATAGTTGAGAGTAAGTTATGTCTTCTCTTCATGTTAAATAGAAGAATCCATTGTCTTGTAATTGTTATTGTATGTGTTTGGGGCATTGGCCAACACTCATTGTGGGAAAATCATGGCCCCATATCTTTGAACAACGCATAACCTAAGTTCAGTTACATTATTTCAGAATTAGTTAATGTAAATTCAATGAAAGGGCAGATATCGATGATGGTGACTATTACCTGGGTTCAGTTTGGATTCCTGGCTGTTGGAAAGGACCGTAGCAGTGACATAGACCCATTTCACACAAAAACCAGAGCAGAGGTGAAGAGTGATCTCCAGTCATCACTGTGGTAAGGGAATGGTCACCAGCAGAGGTGCTTAGTCCTCTCTAGGAACCAAGTTAGTTAGGTTGTCTGATGAGGGGTGAGGGTTACAGCAGGCTTGGAGGTTTCTGACAGGCCAGCATTGATGGGAGATTTCCTTGGGTTATCCAGGTGGGCCAAGTGTCATTGCAAGAGTCTTTGTAAGTGGAAAGGAACACAGGCACAAGTACCAGAGTAATAGAGTATGGGAAAGAATCAACATGCCATTGATGATTTGAAGGTCAAGGCCAAGAGCTAAAGAATCCCAGGAAAATAAATTGTGTCTTAAGAGTTTGTCTTTGTGGGCTGGGAAGTGGCTCAGTGGTAGAGTGCTTGCCTCGCATGCATGAGGCCCTGGGTTTGATTCCTCAGCACTACATAAGCAGAAAAAGCCTGAAGTGGCGCTGTAGCTCAAGTGGTAGAGCGCTCGCCTTAATCTGAAGAGCTGAGGGACAGCGCCCAAGCCCGGAGTTCAGGCCCCATAACCAGCAAAAAAAAAGTTGGTCTTTGTGGGGTAAAATCTGCTGACAATGATTTTACCGCAGCGAGACACATGTAGATCTACCAAGTTAATAAGTTTGCAGAGCCAAAAATGTGGCTCATGATTGTCACCCCAGCCACTTGGGAGGCAGCGATGGAAGGATTGCAATTCAAGGTCAGTTCACGTAGAAATTTAGGGAGACCGTATCAACAAGTTGGGTACAGTGGTTTACTTTTGTAATCTCAATTATACCAGCAGCATGAGCACAGTAGGGCCAGCCTGGACAAAAAGTGATTCCCTACCCAGATATGAAAGCAGAAAGGACTAGAGGTGTGGCCCAAATAGTAAGACACCTGCCTGGGTACATAGCAGCCCCGCTTTCAAAACCCCATGCTGTCGTGATTAATAAACAAGCACATAAGTAGATGTGCGTCGTTTTAGGCTACTGGGTTTGTTAGAGTAATAATGGGAAGCCGATAGTACAGAAACAGACCAAGAAACTAGATAACTCCAAATTAGGGACAATTAAGGACACATTATTCAATGAAACTTAAAAATTCATATCTCTACCAGAACAGAAAATTTTAAAACATCTTTAGAAATTATATATAAACATATCTAATTATATGTGTATATACATATATATGTGTATATAGTACATATTATATATATATATAATTTATAAGATATACTATATATTATAAGATCTAGTGTATATTGTTGTAATTTGTAACGCACTATAATTTGTAGTATGTATAATGTACCACATAGGGTTTTGAGAATATAGCCACTCTTACATGGACCTTTCTTCGATTATGCCTGTGTAACACTAGGGGGAGCCATTCCTGAAGACTAGGGCTGTCTAAAGAACTTTCTGTGATGAAGCAAATGCTCCCTGGTATCCAGTATAGTGGCCACCAATCCTACATACCTAATGAGCATTTGGAATATGATTTAACTAAATTTTTAGTGTGGTACTGAGCCTTGAACTCTGAGCACTGTCCCTGCGTTGTGCTCAAGGCTAGCCCTCTACCACTTGAGCCACAGCTCCAGTTCTGGCTCTCTTGTGGTTAATTGGAGATAATAATAAAGGAGAACCTTCATAAAGAGAAGGATACAAACAGTCACATCCAGTACCAGTACGGCTAAGTTGTTATCACATCAGGTACAGAAAATACTGACAAGATCAGCATCTTAGAGACAATTATAGAATTATTTCTTTTAGATTACTATGGAAATACACAAGCCTTAACTAAGTTTCTAGTATACAAAGTAGTTATAGGTTGAATATGATCCTCAAAAACAGGATTACAGGTGGCTCACACTTGTAATCCTAGCTACTCAGGAGGCTAAGATCTGAGGATCACGGTTCAAAGCCAACCTGGGCAGGAGATTCCGTGAGACTCTTCTCTCCAATAAACTACCAGAAAACCAGAAGTGGCACTGTAGCTCAAGTGGTAGAGCATTAGCCTTCAGCTGAAGAGTTTAGGGATAGCACCCAAGCCCAGAGTAAAAGCCCCACGACCAACAGAAAAAAAGAGACTACAGTCTGAGGGTTTTGCTTCAAAGCCAACTTGGGGAAAGATATCTGTGAGGCTATTCTCTCCAATAATGGCAAAAAGCCAGAACTGGAGGGTTGGCTTAAGTTATGAGTGGAAAAAGCCAAGCAAAAGGCTCTTTTGAGTTAAAACCCTAAAAGTTGAAAGCCTCTTTCTTGGTGCTTGTCCTGGGGCTTGTACTCAGGCCTGAGTGTTGAACCTGAACATTTTTGCTCAAGGCAAATACTCTGTCTCTTGAGCAACATCTCCGCATCCTGCTTTTGGTGGTTAATTGTAGATAGAGTCTCCTAGGCCAGGTTCCAGTGACTCACTCCTCTAATTCTAGCTACTTAAGAGGCTGAGATCTGAGGATTGCACTTCAAAGCCAGCCTGGGTAGGAAAGTCTGTGAGACTCTTATCTCCAATCACATCACAGAAAAAGCAGGAAGTGGTGCTGTGGTTCAAGTGGTACAGTGTTAGTCTTAAACAAAGGAGCTTAGGTATAATGCCCGGACACAGCATTCAAGCCTCAGAAACTACAAAAGAAAAAAAAGTCTGTCCATGCTGGCCTTGAACCATGATCCTCAAATCTCAGCCTCCTAAGTAGCTAGTATTACAGGTGTGGACCACTGTGCCCAGCTTTGAAGGCATGTTTGTAAGTGACCTTATTTGGAAGCAGAGTCATTGCAGGGCTGGGGTGTGGCTCATTAAAGGCTTGCCTACCATGGGTGAGGCCCTGGGTTGCATAACTAGCAGCCCCCAAAAAGGGAACTGGGTCATTGCAGATGTGGATTCATTATGACAACTTACTTTATACTGGAGAAAGGTGGACACATTCCAATGTGAGAGACACACAGCCAAGCATGGCAAATGTGCCTATTCGTGAGACTGAGACAGTAAAGTCACTGGAAGCCATTAATTTGAGGCCAGCCTGGATGGGGGAGGGAAGGAGGCAGAAGAGGGAGGAGAGGGGCACAGACACAGGGAGAAGAGAGCCATAGGAAGAGATTGGAGTGATGTGTTTCCAAGCAGCTAGAAGATGTAAGGAGGGCTGGGAAGGTGGCTCAGTGGTAGAGAGCTTGCCTTGCATGCCTGAGGCCCTGGGTTCCATTCCTCAGCACCACATAAGCAGAAAAAAAAAAGCCAGAAGTGGTGCTGTGGCTCAAGTGGTAGAGCGCTAGCCTTGAGCTGAAGAGCTGAGGGACAGTGCCCAGGCCCAGAGTTCAGGCCCCACACCGAAAAAAAAAAAAAAAAAAAAAAAAAAAGATGCATGGAAACTTCTCCCTAAGGAAAGGGTTGGGAGGCGGGGGGCGCTGAGTAGAGGAGCCAGTACTTCTGTTCTCTGAAAACAAGTCTGTTGTTATGATATCCTTAGGGAAGAGCACAGAAGTATTTCTTTTGTTACAGAAGAGAAAATGAATAGAGATACTACAGAGTGACATCTAAGAATAATGTAAGAAATTACTATCAACTATCATTTTTTTCTTTTTCTGTTTTTCCTGTTATTAGGGTTTGAATTCCAGGATTTGTGCTCTTCAGCCTTTTTGCTACTAACTGATATTCTACCACTTGATCCATACCTCTAGTCTAGCTTTTGGCTGGTTAATTGGAGATGGAATCTCTTGGACTTTTCTGCCCAAATTGGCTTGGAAGCTTGATCCTCCAGATTTCATCCTCCAGATTAACCAGGATTACAGATGTGACCTGCCAACACCCAGCTTCATTCACCATTTTTTAAATACCAGTTCTTGGGGGGATGGGGAAGGATTATGAATTCTAGGCCAGATGCATAGCAAGACACTTTCTTTCCTTTTCTTTTTTTTGGTCAGTCGTGGGGCTTGAACTCTGGGCCTGGGTGCTGTCCCTGTGCTCTTCAGCTCAAGGTGAGTGCTCTACTGCTTGAGCCACAGCCCACTTCCAGTTTTCTAGTGGTTTATTGGAGATAAGAGTCTCACGGACTTTCCTTCCAGGCTTTGAACCACACTCAAGTCTCAGCCTCCTGAGTAGCTAGGATTACAGGCGTGAGCCACTGGCACCGGCTGCAAGACACTTTCTTAAAAAACAACAACAGAAAATAACCTTTTCAGCCAGGTTCAAAGCCAGCTCAGGCAGGAAAGTCTGTGAGACTCTTACCTCAATTAGTAGTCACCAGAAAAGTGGGGAAGTAGGGCTGGACAGTTCAAGTAGTAGAGCACTAGCTCTGAGCCAAAGTTCAAGCCCCAAGACTGTCACCAAACAGAAAACAAAAAACCACCACCAACAACAACAAAAACCCTTCTCTCTCCAGGAGTTGGTGGCTCACGCCTATAATCCTAGCTTCTCAGGAGGCTGAGATTCAGGTTCAAAGCCAGTCTGGGCAGGAAAATCCGTGAGACTCTTCTCTCCAATAAACCACCAGAAAACTGGAAGTGGCGCTATGGCTCAAGCGTTAGAGTGCTCGCCTTGAGCTCAAGAGCATAGGGACAGCGCCCATGACCTACAAAAACAAAACAACAACAACAAAAAACTCTCCATTTTATGTAAATTATTTAAGGCAGGGTTGGGTTTTTTTTTGAGCCACAGCACCACTTCCAGCTCTTTCTGTGTATGTGGTGCTGAGGAATCAAACCCAGGGCCTCAGGCATTCAGGGCAAGCACTCTACCACCAAGCCACCTTCCCAGCCCAGGACAGGGTTCTTTTTAGGACTTTTTTATGGTTACCTATGCACTCCTAAATTGTTTTGCTTTCTGTCAATATTGATCTCTCAAAAGAAGAAAAAAATAGGCATTCTTGAATACATATATCTAGATAGATATATAGTAGATAGATAGATGTGTAAATCTAGATATATGTATTCAGGAGGCACTTTTTTATTTCCTATGCACTCCTAAATTGTTTTGCTTTCTGTCAATATTGACCTCTCAAAAGAAGAAAAAAATAGGCATTCTTGAATACATATATCTAGATAGATATATAGTAGATAGATATATGTGTAAATCTAGATATATGTATTCAGGAGGCTGTAGAAGCATTGCCAGTATGAGGCCAGCCCATGTTATACAATGAAATCTTGTCCCAAAGCAAAACAAACAAAACAAAACAAAACATATTGCAGCCTACGAACTGAGTACTAAGAAAAACTCAGCTGCTTTCAAGCTTCATGTGGAGTCTAGGAAATCACTACTTCTATCAAAATTGCTTTTAATTCCATAGCTCTTAAGCTGTGAAAGAATCGCCAAGATTGTCATGAGAGGATCTTACAACATGCTTTCAGAATTCATACCATCTTCATCAGCAAGCAGGTTAGATGAAGGTCATCTGAGGTAAGCAAGCTATCTCTGACCCCAGATTCTTGTTTTCCAGACAAGAAAAATGCCAAGGATGTGCTCAAGGGCAGCCTCATGAATAATGGGACCAGCCAGCTGCTAGGAAGCTAGCTGGAGCCTGAAAGAGTCCTCTTTAGTAAAGGCCAATGTCACACTACACTGGGGTTCCAGAAACAGCTGGGAATTCAGAATGCAAAACAGCTTTAGGGTCTGCTGCTTACAACAGGAGAAATAGCAATAAAAGGCATATATGCATTCATTCAAGTCCATTTACTTGCCTTTGATTATTTCCTGTCGATGACAAGCCAGTCAAGATTCATCCCCAAGTACACCAAGGCAAGAATGAGCTGCAGAAGTAAATAGATGTGGTCTGACTTGTCAGTCTGGCCTAGCTCCTAGCAGTTCAGTAACAGGTGCTGGTCAAATTTTGGTAAGTGTACCAATCTGTTTTCCTATTTCCAGGAATACCACCTTCTTGGCCAAGGGTCTGAGGAGCCCTGAAAGGGGCTTCCCTAGCTGTTCAATGATTTCCATAGACCTGCCAGTACTGTGACTTGAACTCAGAGCCTCTAGCTCACTTGGTTTTCTCGCTTAGGGCTGGAGCTCTACCACTTGAACCATGCCTCCAGTCCATCCAGCTTTTTGCGGGTTACTTGAGATGGAGTCTAGAGGATTTTTCTTCTCAAGCAGGCTATGAACACCAGGTCTCAGCCTCCTGAGCAGCTAGGATTCGAGGTGTGAGCCATGATGTCCAGCTACCTCTTCTTGTAATGCTTTTGTGGGGGGAAGATGGGGGGACAGGTGTAATGACTTTAACCACTAGGAATAATTTCCCTCTCTTCCCCGGCCTCAAGCGTTGTAAGCACATGCTCTACGGCCAGGCTACATCTTCGCTTCAGTGTCGGACGCACAGGAAGAATCTCACGTTAGGAAATGGTCCCTTCCATGTGACCACACAGGAAGCCCAGCACGCGGCGCCCTTTTACCCAGTCCTGGGCTTGACCTCAGCGCCCGGCGCTGACCCTGAACTTCTTTTTTTTTTTTGTTTGTTTTTTTGGGGGGGTCCGGTCGTGGGGCCTGAACTCTGGGCCTGGGTGCTGTCTGTCCCTCAGCTCTTCAGCTCAAGGCTAGCACTCTACCACTTGAGCCACAGCGCCACTTCCGGCTTTTTTTCTTTTTGCTTATGTGGTGCTGAGGAATCGAACCCAGGGCCTTGTGCTCAAGGCTGCCGCTTTTTTCTGTGCATGTGGTACTGCGGACTCGAACCCAGGGCTTCAAGCATGCAGATGAGCACTCTACCACTCGGCCCCTTCCCAGCCCGGGGTCCGCTGGTCATGTCCGGACAGCCTGCGCGTCCCGTCCGGGCTTCTTCCTCCGGCCCCTCCCCTCGTCTGGTCCGTACAGCGCCTTCCAGCTGGAGCGGGAGAGGTAAACTGAGTCCGGAGACCCCAGGCTGCGCTGGGGGGGGGTGCACCTCAAGATGCCGGACGGTATCCCTGAGATGCGTCCACCGGCTCGGGGGGCGGCGGGAGAGCGCCCCGGCGGGGGTGCGAGGTGCGAGGTGCGATGTGCGGGCTGGCTGAGGCCGGCGATCCGCATGTCCGGGCGCAGGGCAGCG